CTCATGTATCTGGACTGCTCTCCTATAGTACAGCAAGAGCAGTCGCGCCAAGTGCCACGGGCCTCCGCCTTGTAAGGGCAGCTCCATCGGCTTAGGAGACTTGAGGTACGGGAAAGTCGTATTCGGAAAGTATGGCGAAACCGTCGAATGGCGCCATTGGTACGTCGTCTTAAGGCTGTACTATGCTTCTGTCTAATCCCGTCGTGCTAGGGGTTGCGTTACTAAGTCGATTCTTGCAAACTTGGCAACAGTCAAATTAGAGCGCGTGCCGGGTTTCAACAACCTGAGGTTCGTGCGGCCCTATTTACAAAGATATTTCTCATCTCTTATATCCACGGCAGACCTGAGGACCAGTCAAAGATCCGCATGGCCATCGGTTTACGGCGCATTGATACCGCCGACATCCCGGAATCTGCCAAGGCGCCCAATGCAGTGAACACAGCAGACGCTGCATCTTCTTCGCAAGGGCCCAGCCAGAAGAAGCGTAAAGCCGCAGCAGAGGCGGCCACGCCTGTGTCGCAGTTGTCCTCCCAGCAGCCACAGCCCGGTCCGTCGCAGCCGCTGCGGCATCTTACTCAGAATCCCGCTTCTCAGACTATTGAGGACGAGCAAGACGATGATGTTGTTGAGATCGAAGACCCCAAAGATGAACTATATTGTACGCTGAAGACGAGCATTGTCGGTGTGCAATACTACAAGGGCAAGTTTCTGCGATGCTATTCGAACATCGCGAGCGTATCACTGAGTTATGGTAACCTGATAGGTCTCGTTGGGCCCGGAGAGCAAGTCCGTCTCGTCCGAGAACCGAACAACAAGTATGATCGCAACGCAATCCAGGTGAAGAATATCGGCGGCACACAGGTTGGGCATGTCCCGCGGAACGCTGCCGCCAAGCTTGCCCCTCTCATGGATCGCAACTTAGTCACGGTCGAAGGCGTGATGCATGAGGGAAACTGCGAGTGTTTCCTCGAGAATGTGTCGATCCTGCTCTGAATAGTGCACATACAGTGACCTCATTCAGCTACTCGCTTTCCATGTAAGTTGAACTCATATGATTTAGTGTCCAAACTGACAAAGGACCGCGCAGGACGCTTAAGATCTATGGTGCTACCGACAACCGCGCCCAGCTCGAGCCGCAACTCATCTGGGCCACACCCGGCCAACGCGGCTTCACCCCACGCACTGGTGGTGGCGCCGCTAACATTCCCATCCCAGGCCCTTCCCAACTTCCGCCCATGCCTCCTCAGTCGCAGTACCAGCGCCGGGGACTCACCGCCGCTCAGCAGGAAGCACAGCGCAAGCAACAGTTAGAGTTCCAGAAAGCTTCGGAGCTCCGGCAAATTCTCAATAATTTAGAGAAGGTCGACGACGAGGGGCGCCGGGGCTCCCTGCTCGACACGCTCTGCGCTGTGGAGGACGTGCTGAAGCTCCCGATGCATCCGAGCCCGCCGGGTGTAACAAGCGGGGACTTGAAGGTGAACTTGATGAGGCACCAGGTATGGCGTATGAACGGTTGCTTGCTGTAGAAATATATCTGATAGGATATCCAGAGTCAAGCTCTGCAATGGTGCATCGAACGCGAGTACCCCGTGCTGCCAAAAAAGGAGGAGGATAAGCCGGTGCAATTCTGGCAGCTGAAAAAGACCGCAGGAAAGGTGAGCCAGTGTGCAGCTCCATGAGACCGCCGCCGGTCCGCTTATGCTCGCTCCTTTGTTCCCAGACGTTCTACTACAATGGTGCGTCCCGTTCACGAGCCTCGCAGATCAGCTACTGAACCTTCTATGCATGGCCAGTTGTGACCAAAACACCTCAGCAGAATCCTCCAGTACTCGGAAGAGGCGCGCTATGCGCAGACAGCATGGGCTTGGTACGTAAGCACGATGTGTCGTCACGCTCTCCATAATAACGAGCAACCTCCTTAGGGCAAAACCTTGACGATGCTCTCTCTCGTGCTCGCAACGAAGGCCGACATTCCTCTGGACTTTTCTAAGTCCACGCTAATCGGTGTGCATCCCGTCCTTCATCAATCGGGCACACATCTCAATTTCTACCCACACAGTTGTCCCGCTTTCTGTCCTGTCAAACTGGGAGAAGCAGATCGAGGACCATGTCATCGCGGGTGCTCTTACGCACTGCGCGTACTATGGCAACACGCGCTCTAAGACACCGGAGCAGCTGAAGCAGTACGACGTCGTAATCACGACGTACCAGACGGTCGCCGGAGAGCATGGCGATTCAGTCTCGAGTGGGAACGGAAAGAGGAGGAAGATGTCCGGGGAAGGATTGTTCCACGTGCCCTGGAAGGTGAGAACAATGAGAGCGGTTATCGGATGGTTCAGCGTGAGTTTGCTAATATTGGATTAGAGGATCATTCTTGACGAAGGGCACAATATTCGCAACCCTCGAACTAAGATGGCGAAGGCAGTGTACGGATTGAACGCCCAGCGGCGCTGGGTGCTCACAGGAACACCGATCGTAAGTTGCGTTAGGTGCTAGCGAAAAGGGCCGCTGACGATCGCTATCTTAGATCAATTCCCCGAGGGTATGCTGACCTAATAGTTCATCTTGCTCCGTCATCAACTAACGGTACCGTAGGACCTCGGCTCTATCCTGACCTTTTTGCAGATCTGTCGTCCCCTGGATGACGAGGATTTCTATAAGCGCATGGTGCTACGTCCTCTCAAGGATGGCGATCCTAGTGGCGCCGAGCTCCTTCGGGTACGCGTAACAACGTGCCTCTTGAGATTTCAGATACCGATGTATTAACAGGCATTGATGAGCCATATGTGCATTCGCCGAACCAAGGAAGTAAGCGGATTATTTACATACGTTGTACATCCGCTCATCAAGGCTCGCAGATGCAAGACAGCGAAGGCAACCCGCTTATTCCTCTTCCTCCTGTACGGCATCACAGAAAACTCGGTCGAAACTTGCTTTACTCATCCCATTTCAGGTTGACGTGACCGTGGTCCCTGTGTCCCTCACCGACCAGGCTAGGGTACGACACATCAGCAGTATTAGTAAGCGCTGGTTAATGTCCTGGACTGCAGGAGCTATACGACGCAGTTGAACAACTGTCGAAGCAACGAATAGACAATTTGATCCAGATGCATGGAAGCATTCACTCAGCTGCTGTGAGTCTTTCTGAGAATTCATTCCCTGTATATGACAGACTCTGATTTTCTTTAGGTACAAACCAATATGCTAAGTCTGTTGACGCGTCTGCGCCAGCTCGCGCTCCATCCGGGCCTCGTGCCTGCCAACTATCTCGAACAGCTCCGCATTGCTGAATCAAATGACGATGCCCCTATGTCCGCAATCAAGCTCACTCCAGAAGACAAGATACGATTGCAAAACATCCTCGCACAGGGGATTGAGGATAACGAGGAATGCCCCATATGTTTCGACATTCTGAACCAGCCTAGAATCACGGGCTGCGGACACATGTTCTGTCTTGCATGGTCAGTCACTACTGATGTATACAAACGATTGGCCACATGCGCTGACTTGCCTTTGCAGTATCTCTGAAGTCATCTCTCGCGACCCGAAATGCCCGATGGTTTGTCCTATCACACCCCACGGTAACTTCTGATCCAAGCCCTGCTGTTAGGATCGGCGCCAACTCGGAATGGGTGACCTCATCGAACCGCCGCCACCGACAGAGCTCACACAAGCACCTGTGCGCTGCGATGAAGAAGACGAGGAAGAGGACAGCGGATTGCGTTTCGGATCTTCTGCGAAGATCGATCAGCTTGTCCACTTGCTCAAGCTCACACCGACGACGGAGAAGTCCCTCGTGTTCTCACAGTTCACATCCTTCCTTGACAAGGTCTGTCTCCAACGCACCTGTCGTCTTGTACAGACACCTGATCATCATCGAACGCTTAGATTGCGGAGACACTTGAGAAAGAAGGGCAAGTATGATGTTCATGCTCACGAGGCAATGCATACTCAGAACATCGCAGCATCCCGTACGTCCGCTTCGATGGGAAGATGTCTGCGCGACGGCGACAAGAAACAATTGCGCGCTTTTCCGTACCCCTCGACGGTTCTGTCCAAACTTCTGTGATCGAGAACGACGAACCAGCATCGCGTCCGATTCGCCGCCGGGGACGCTCCAATATCGCCGTCGTTCAGGACGACGAAGATGCAGCGGTCCGCGACGACGACAATGACGCAGATTTCGCACCAACTAACGAGAACGGCGAGGATAGTGACTTCATCGACGATGAGGATGATGAGCGCAACAAACGTTGGAAGGGTAAAGGGAAAGCTAAAGCAGCTAATGGCAAGAAAATAGCGAGGTTCAGCATTACGGGACCCTCTGTGTCAATATATCTCGATGGCTCGGCGTTTGGAAATGAGGTGAATCCAAGGGTCATGCTCATCTCGCTCAAGGCGGGGGCGCTGGGTCTAAACTTGACCATCGCCAACAATGTCTACCTGTAAGTTGCTCCCGACCTCTTCTTATCGATGTAGCTGATCGCTTGGAATAGAATGGATCCGTATGTTTGTTCATTTGTCGAAGTGCCAAACTCACACTCACTGGCATGTTCGGACGCTTCTAGCTGGTGGCAGGTAAGTACTGGACAATGATGACCGAAGTTTCTGCTTACATCCTCGTAGGAGGGGATTGAGTCTCAAGCAATTGACAGATGCAACCGGTAGGCTGTTTGCCAGGAAAGTTGCTATCTCGGACTGACGGACATTGGTACAGCATTGGTCAAACGAAACCTGTCCACGTCTACCAAATGATTGCCGAGAACACTGTTGAATCGAAGGTAGGACCCATTGGTCTGACGGGACGCGGGTTATTGATATGTATACTGTTGCAGGTTATCGATATCCAAGAGAGGAAGAAAAAGCTGGTCGAGCAGGTAAGCGCTGCATACCGCAGGCGCTCAACTTTATACTCAAGCGTAACGCAGGCATTCTCCGGAATCAAGACCAAGGAGACGCAACGCCAGAAGAAGGAGGCCCGATTGCAGGGTGAGTCGCGGATCTTCCCCTTCTGCCGGTGTATGCTGAGGTTCGTCAAAGAACTGGTCGCGCTCTTCGGCAGCCGACAGGAAGGGGCGTAGAATACACTGGATGGCTGGCGACAGCGGTGATGGAAAGACGTGACTGGTTTTTTTTGCTTCGTGCTCGAGAATCGTGTTGCTACGCATAGCGCAATGGTATAGTCACCTTTGACGGACAAACAGAGTCCTCAACTGGTGCCGACTAAGAGTACAACGCGCGCCAAGTTGCGCATAGTCAGCCTATCAAGTGTCCAGTCCGTTCATTCCCAATCGCTGTCCGCTTCGTCCTCGTCCTTCTTCTCATCACCGACCTGCGCCTTCGCCTCCGCGGCCGTCTCCTCCGAGATCACACTCACGCTCCCAACGCGGCTCACCTGTGACGAGACGACGTCAAAGCTATCTTCACTGCTCTGGCGCGGACTGCCGTGTGCGGGCGTCGACGCGGGGGGTGTAGCCACTGCAGCGTTAGATGTCGATGCCGCTGTTGACGTCGGGGCGGGTTGTGTGCAAAAGGGCTCGAAAGCTGCAGGTAGCGGGGCGGGCACGCCGGGAGCGGGACCCGGGGCATCCTCCTCCTCGTCTTCCCAACTGAAATCCTCTTCATTTCCGATCGTGCCTACAGAAAAGTGAATCGCGTGTCATCATGAGGGAGGAAAGCTCGCACGTACCCTGCAGAAGTGCCTTTCGGCGCTCTTCTTCGTGCTCGACCTGGTGCATGCGGAAGAAGTAGCGTGCCCAGAATGTCGCCGCGTCCATGTCTTCTGGCACTGGAATGGAGGATGAGCATTTCGGACAGCTTACAGTTTATTTCCGAGATGCGTACCTAGAATCTCGAAGAGCGACACAACCTCTGGCCTGTCATTCCTCTCCTTTTCTATTCTCTCCTTCCAAAAGTCGGCGTCGATCCCGCCTGCCTGCTCTACCTCCTTCTCAAACCACGCCCGGTACATTTCCGCATCTCGTCTGCCCTCGGCAGCAGGGTCGACGCGGACGACGTTTGGGTCGTGGCGCAACTGTGTAAGCAGCGCCTCCGCGCGCGTCGCAGCGCGTATACTGTCCATCGACCTCCGTTCCTTGCCCTTCCCCTTGTCGCTCGTGCTCGACCGTGGACTCGAGCCTTCGGCAGTGCTGTACGTCGGGATCATCCACACATCCGTCCCATCCCATACGACGCCGGAGGAAGTGCCCTCTTCGGGCGGGACCACGCGCACAGCATCCTTGAGGAACTCGCTCGCCTCGCGTAGCAGCTCCTCACTGCTGCCCTGTACGCGCTGTAGAAGCTCCCCGCCACTACCCTGCACGCGTTGTAGGAGCACCTCGCTGCTACCTTGGACCTTTTGCAGCTCGGTGGCGATGGTGCTACGGAGCTGCGCGAAGTCGGGTGCGGAGAGAGAAATGGAGGAGAGCGAGCTGGCGCTTGCGTGTTTGATCGACTCGGGGAGGCGTTCTTGAACAGAAGAGACGAGCTGAGGAGGGAGAGACGCCTGGAGGCGAGCGAGGAGGGTCTGGGGCTGGGCAGGTGGTTGTTCGCTGTCAGTTTGCGACGGTGTAGGTGTGGACTCTGCATCATCCGGAGACTTGGAGATCTCAATTGTTGATGTTGATGCGGACGTTGAAACGTCGTCCACCTTGTCTGTTTGAGTCTCTATCGAAGGTCCTGCTTCGGTGCTGCTTTCGGAAGCTGATACTGTGGACCCGGTTGCGGGTGCCTCTGTGGTCAACTTGTTAAGCTCCTTCTGGGCCTGCGAGACGACCTCGCCTAAGTCTTTGCGCGCTGTTTCAATCACAGCTTGGCTCTGTCAGTGCACAACAAAACGTCATTCCTTCGTTTCGTTTGGATCGCAGACATGGCTGCGTGCGTACCTGCTTCCTAAAGCCACCCCAGAATCGTGAGAGCTGCCCAACGACCTGAGAGACCTCCTCGTTCAGACTGGTCTCGGGCTGGTCTCCTGGCAGAGCAGTAGGGGAGTCGGTAATGTCGTATGCATCAAGGAAGTTCATGGTGTGCTTATAATCATGCAGACTGCGAAGGATTGGTTTGGTGCGCTGAGGCGCATCAAGGACGCCAAGAGCTTACTGGAGAAGATTAGAACGAAACGTTACGCAGCATAGATTGCGTTTGTAATGGGCGTACAAGCCATTAATTGAGGCCAATGGAACGCGACCCACGTGCCATGATGACGTAATTCAAGGTGCGCGCATGTGTAGAAAAGCGAAAAATAAAAATGAGGCGCGCGAAGCGAGTCAGTCAGACTTTTCCCACTTCTTCATCGCCTTGCTAAAGTCTCCATTACAATTTGAGCGACCCCGCTCGTACATGATTTTCACGCAGAGTACTCGCGACGAGTGAGTACGGTGTCCCCGTTTTTTATTTGAGGGCGTTCGCATGACTGACCGGCAACAGTTACCTCAGCGATCTCGTTTTCTCCCTGCTCAGCCATTGAAGCCTAGCTGCCTTCTACCATGTTTTCTCGCTGTATCATCCGCGTACCTCGTTTCCATCGAGGCCTAGCTACCCATGCGAGCGTGCCTGTCAGCACCTCGCACCCTGCCGTTCTGCATTTGAAGACAGGACAGTCGTTCGCAGGCCGTTCTTTTGGTGCACCTTGTAGCGTGTTCGGCGAGACGGTGTTTTCCACCTCAATCACTTCTTGTAAGTGTAAACTGGGTTCTCGCTTAAACAGGCACCTGACAATTTTGTAGACACTGAGTCCATGACCGACCCGTCCTACCGAGGCCAAATCCTCGTCTTCACCACGCCACTTATTGGCAATTATGGCGTCCCCAGCAATATCACTCCAGTGAACTCGCAAGATGTTGGCGTTACCTTGGAGTCGTCCACCGTCCAATGCTCAGCAGTTGTGGTCGCCGACCTCGCCGAGCGTTTCTCACATCACGCGGCCGTGGAATCCCTCGCCGCATGGTGTGCCCGCAATGGCGTCCCTGGCATCACGGGTGTAGATACACGAGCCATCACTACCCTTCTTCGTGACCAGGGTACCACTCTCGGTCGTCTCGCTGTTGGTGAAGACGCCACTCTTCCCCCTCCGAAACCCGAGGAATACTGGGACCCGACGACCGAGAACCTCGTCGCGCAGGCCTCCACGAAAACGCCGTACGAACTCAACCCCACTGGTGACGTGAGAGTCGCTGTGCTTGATTTTGGTGCCAAGGCGAATATTCTGCGCTCGCTCGTCCGGCGGGGCGCCGCGGTCACCGTTCTGCCGTGGAATTTCGACTTCAACACGATCCGCGACCGCTACGATGGCCTTTTCCTCTCGAACGGGCCCGGCGATCCGAATCACTGCATGCCCGCTGCGCTCAACCTTCGCCGCACGCTTCGCGAGTGGAACAAACCCATCTTCGGCATCTGTATGGGCCATCAGGTTATCGGCATGGCTGCCGGCCTCGACGCGTACCGCATGATGTTCGGTAACCGCGGGCACAACCAGCCTGTGCTCGCGCTTGCGTCGTCGGGAAGCATCAAGGCAGGACGCGTATACGTAACGAGCCAGAATCACCAGTACGCACTCCGCCTGCAAGACCCGTTCCCTGACGGCTGGGAGCCGTTCTTCATCAACTGCAATGATTCGAGCGTGGAGGGTATAAAAAGCACTGCGGATTCCGGCAGGAAAGTCTGGGGTGTGCAGTTCCACCCTGAAAGCGCGGGCGGTCCTCTCGACACCATCGAAGTCAGTGAATCCTCTATTCGCGCCAAGATCTGTCTGCTAACAATCATCGACTACAGATGTTCACAGACTTCGTTACAGAGTGCCGTGCGAACAAGCTGCAACTCGGACTCCACACCGATGGCATGATAGGCGGAAAAAACGAGGTGCCCACGTTGGCACCGGACATTCCTCGACGAGTTGCAGTTGCCGCATGAGAGAAGGTATCATGTCATCATCGTTTTTTGTACCGTCATATACCACTTTCGATGAGATTTACTGCACAAGTTAGATAGAATCCGGATAAGATACTGTGCATATATACGTCACTGCCCGCGAATGAGATCGATGAGGATGTGGATATCGAGATGAGCTGCAAGGTATATAGTGATGTAGAATCCGTTACACGGCTATGAATAAGTTAGATAGTCCCATCCTTTCCTTTGTCATGTACCCATGCCAATGTTCACCTCTTCTTGACCCTCACTTTTGCGCTTACCTTCGCCTTCTGCTTCTTATATGTGCGCGCAGGACCCTCCACGACCTCAACGTCCATATCATCATCCACTTGCTTGCGCTTGCTGCCCCCGGCCACCGCAGAAATGTCAAACGCGTCCACATCAATAGGCTCGGAAGCGGTCGATGCCGACAGCTTACTGAGTGGATGCTGTTGCGCCGGACTCTGGCGAATGGATGATCCCGAATTTGGCAACGATGCGCGGCCTGAGCGAGCAGACAGCGCAGGCGATCCTCGCCGGGATGAAGATGATGGTCGTTCCGACTGAGTCTGGCTAGGGCTCTGGGCGGTAGCAAAGGCGCTAGACATTGGCGGGTCGTCTTCGTTCTCCGATCTGCTCTTGCTGATGACCTCATCGTCGAACACACGGGTCTCCCGCCAGTCGCGCATAAATATGCTCTCGCTCGAGAGGTTGTCTTGGAACGTTTTGATAGTGGCCTCCGTCATCGAATCTTCAGTGACATGCACAATATGATCACCCGTTTGACGCGTTCCGAATAGCTCCAGGGAGATCGACGCTGTATTCCGCAATGGGAGACGCTCTTCCGGCCTGTCTTCGTGTCTGAGGTTGGCTTCCCCTGGCGGAATGTCCCCCAGGTACTCGGTCCATTCCCAAGGCCTGTTTTGCACGGGCTGTGTAATTGCCAACGCGCCGGATGGATCTCGGGTAGCATAAGATAGATTTGAAACGGTAGCGTTTAAAGCCGTATATGGCAGCAACGCACGCAGGCGACTCTGATATTCCAGTGGCATATCAGGCGAGAACGAACGTGGTTCAAGGTTGGGATAGCGATAGAATGGATCTAACGTCGTGAGTTTTGGATCGCTTGGGATTTCTGTGGCCATCGTCAGTATTCAGCACAATCGTAAACGATAAAGCACGCACCGTCCAGAACGAAGTACAACGTGTCCAGGAGCAGAGGAAAGGCAACGAGACCAATGTCGAAACCCTCTCCGTGAACCTGTCGGAGATTCGTCAACCGGTCGATCGCGATAGAACAAGCCAGGCTTACGAGAGCTAGCTGGACGATGGTATTGCACAGCGACTCGCTCATGTTCTTTACTTGCGGCGTCCATGCTTCCGGAAATCCAAATACAAATTGCAACAGCCGGCACAGCAGTATAGCACAGTGTGATGCCGGGGAGGTAATCTCTTCATCAGTGACACCGTCTTGCTCTGCGACTAGCACATCCTTGACCTGAGTCAAACGGGTATCCAGCGCCTCCATGAATTGATTCTGCGTGGCCGGTATCAAGGGAGGAAGGGACGTATCCTCTCGGAAGCGCTCGACAATCTTCGACAACAAGCGTAGGACCTCTCCTGCATTCGTGACAAAATCGCCCACCTCGTCCATTCTTGGCGGATTGTACGGTCCCTTGAATAATTCGACCATTCGCCTCAAGCCTGCATTCACAAACTGATAATAGTATGAGAAGAGTACGTGTGTAAAGGAAACTCGAATTAACCTTTCCCGCGACTTCTCTGCTGACCTCAGTCATCATCTCTGCTACGAAATCGACCTCCTCAGACGTTCTGCAATGCTTGAAGACGAAGGCAGTAAGTTTATCAAGAGTCATATTGGCCGCGTGACGAGTCGATTCTCGCGCGAGGCTCTCTCCTAATTGTTTCAGAGTCAATCGAATCTCAATCGAAGTAGCAGCCAACTTCCAAGGTGTGAGGAGTGAAGACACAGAGACGAATCCGATACCGTCATCAGCTACACCAGTCGCATGTCAATCGAGATGCTAAGATACGTGATCTCATCCTTACCTTCTTCTGGATTGCGGAGCATTAGACGCAGCGCTGCCACTAGCGGTTCGTGCATGTCCTCGGCGATCGAGCCATTCTCTAGCAGTTTCTCGAATGCGTAGCGCACTGCGTCAAGATCACGGTAGACACCTTGCCGGAAAACATCGATCCTACATATAGTCTCCCGGAGTGACGACGTCTGAGTTCGTAGGTGTTCTGCAAGGGAGGGGTTGTGTTCAACCAGAACCAGCATCGACAAGTTGTCCACCAATGGTGAGAAGTGAGGTTCGCGGAAGACATCACGACGCCGCGTTTGCAGACCCTGAGCCTCGAAGATATTCATGGGTGGCAGCCCAGTCCCGCATTCGTCCTTGATGAGTAGATGATTGAAGAGCCCGTTCACGGCCGCCAGACGTATTTCCAGTGCGGAGCCCTGTTCGGTTGAGGTCACGAGGGCACTTGCCTGCCAGACTGGATAGATCAACCCTTGCAGTATCGTCGTCGTCTCCAATGCGCCATATGCACAGAGATGAAGTAGAACGACGATTACGACGTCCCAGGCCTCGGGAGTGAGCGCAGCAATCTCGTTCTTTCCCGCGCCTAGCAGCCAGTCCAAGATGTGTGCGTCTAACCCTCTCGGCAGGTGCTGGTCGACATGCCACAGGAACTGCGCATACCGCAGCGCACAAACCCTCCGCCCTTCGATGTCGGGGATCATGACAGGTATCTGGCGAAGACTGGCGATGGTATTGTCCCAGACTTTCCATGCCCAGTCTTCAGCCTTCATGTACTTATACCACAGATTCTCGGCGAGGTTGGAGGGAGCATCTGGATGCGGATCTGCAGCTAATAGCAAAATTTCAGGAAGAACCGCTGGCACCGGGTTTGAAAACGGGCCGATGGGGTGTAAAGCCTAAAGAGTAATCCGTTGAGCCAAGTCACGCGCGACAGAGCACTTCACTGACGTGAGAATACTGCGTTATATCGCTGAGGACCTGTTCACGTTGCTCTGGGCTGAGGTATTGTCCGTTGTCGAATTCCATCAGGACGAAGAGAAGGGCGCGTATACGGATTCCATTGCCTCTCCATGCGTCATGAGCACTGTACAGCGCCGTAGAAATAATCTTCATGACATTCATGCATGCCCAGATTTCCATATGTTGGCGCAGCGTCCGGATGACAGCCGTCATCAGTTCAAAGGTAGCCGCGTGCTTCAGTGTGTGTAAAGTGAGCTGTAGCCACTCGAGTAAGCTGAGGTAGTCATTTACGAATTACTAGGCTTACATCCAGCATCGAGCCGTAACATTTCGTGCGAGCCATCAGTACAGCTGCTAACGTGTAAGTGATCAGTATATCTTTGCCACCAGCGGCTGCCGCCCTGTGATTGTTTGACATGTAAACGTTGATGCGGTCATAACCACCAGAACTCACTGAGAGCTATGTTTCTGCAAAATCGGCAGTAGCCACTGCTTGACGGTCTTGACTTGCTCATAGCGGCATGCACTCAGCAGAGTAGGACAATTTTCCCGAAGTTTAGCCGTAAGTGTCTCCGACGAAGATGGGATGCCTAAACAGGATGAGGTGAATCGGCATGAACGAACGCAAAATCACGTCCATACCGCCAAACAGCTCAGGGAAGAGGGCACGCAGCTCCTTTCGGATCTCGCGTTCGTTCGTATCTTCAAGTGTCTCACGGGCTCTGACACCGTACAGTGTGACCTTGCGCTGGCTGATCAACGACGAGTCCGCGCTGTGTAGAGGAATGCACCGCAGCAGTTCCAGATGTCGTGATCTTCCCTCCTATTGATGGACAGTGAGTCATGTTTTCGTGCAGTTGTTGAGGTTCATACCTGGTTGTACGAAATCCCCGGTTCACCTCGAGCTATCAGCCGTTGCATGTACTGCTGGTAAGAAAACAGGCCGCGCTTCACAAGCTGCCCAAAAAGCAGCGTGACAGCAGGTATGTTGTCTGAATTGTCTGCATCTGCTGAGCAATCCAGCCAGTCGAACAACTGATCTTGCAGATATTCGTCTGGCGACGCCGCCTCGTGGCGGATGGCGCGTTCGCCTGCTTTTTCGCGCCACGCACCGAGGAGACAGCCCGCAGCATACGGGCGATGGTCCCCGTATTGCAGCGGTGTGACGCTCCAGGTCAGCAGGATATCCAGCTTGCGTGTGAACGAAGACTGAGAATCTGGCAAGTTGTCGAAAAATACGATACTATCCATGTTCGTTTTCCCGGACAACGAATTCAGCAACTACTACCGGCTCAGCACGGTTTCCGAAGGACTGGAAGGTTCAGGACCGACCTTGATGTCCGACAGCGCGGAAGTAAGGCTGCCAACAACGCGTGGAGGCAGGTGCCGGAAGATCATCGCTTCGTTCCGGCGCCGAACATCGGAGAGGCTGTCTTGCAAAGATTGCCGCAGTGTGTTCGCATTCTGTTGCAAAATGCTATCCGACGAGTCGACGGCGCCGCCTCCTATGAGATCCTCTTCCAGCAACTCGCCATATGCAAGCCACGTCCGCGGACTGACGAAGGCGTCGGGTAGGGCGAGGAAGGCTCGCTAAGTCAGATCGCGTGAGCAGGAAGCCGAACACACGACGATGCACGCACTAATATTAAGTTTTTGATGAGAGTTTCAACATTAACGAGGTGATCTCTGGCTGATGCAGTGCGGATCTGATGTGTGTTCGCATACGAGGACAGCCGCGGATCATTACACTGTTCATTACGTACCTCGACCACTTTGCTCAAGCACGCATCGATGAAGTGGTGCGTGAGAGCTCGGCTGACAAGCATGCCATCAAGGTATTCATCAGCCAAGCGCACGACGAAGCCAAGCTGAGCGAGATTACAGCTGCACATCTGCTGCACGAGCCACGTCAGGAACGTGCGGTTGTCGACGAGCCCCTCTGCATAGAACGTGCGCAGGAGCTCCAGTCTGGCGGGGGTCGTCGTTAATGGCGCTACAGGCACGTGGGCGGGTGTGGACTTACGAGTAGGTGAAGCGCGAAATCCACCGCTCACGCGAGTCGGGGTCGGCGAGGACGCTCTTGAAGGTTTGTTTGATGTTCAGTCCTGGGCGGGGCGCAGTAGGCAGAGCGATATCTGCGAGTTGCTTCTTTAGGTAGCCTGTCACGACGTTGGCCCATTCGACGCTGTACTGCGTCGGATTGTATCCTGGTTTGTTCCGAAGGCCTGCCTGTGCATGAATCGACGGTGAATCATGATGCGAAGCACTCAACCACTGGATCATCTCACCGTCTCGTTCCCGCCAAAGACACGGAGGAACCATACGGCTCGCGGGATGGCCACGTTGTTTGTATGAAGGAGGTCGAGCAGATCATGTCCTTTCGCGCCGTGCGGTACGTTCTTGCCCAATTTGTACAGCGGGACGTCCGGATTGGCGAGATCGGCGAACCACGCCTTACGCTTCATGTCGTTGAGAGTAACTCGGGAAGGCAAGCGAAAGGTCGACGCCCTAAGCCCTTGATGTGAATATCACATACGCGAGCTCATGAATGCAGAAACGTACGGAACGGGAGAGGCGAAGTTCTCAGCACGGCGGATGAAGATTTGTTCCATGAGGTTTTCGAGTTCACCGAGGGCATTCTCGTGTATCAAGCTATTTCTGATGGTATCTTGGGTACTGTACGTTTCCGCCTTTCGTAGGTCTTCAGTGCGGTTCCTTCCATGCAGAGTCCTAGAACTCACTGGCACGGAAAGGTTTAGGACGAAGCCATTTTTTATGTTCGTCTCGGTGAGGACCTCCTCATCTTCGTCTGGGCGCGGAGGGTAGAACCCCATGTATCCTGTGGATAGGCGGTGATTAGGCGCATATGGTGTTGTCATTGCTGGTACGAACCAACGTCTGCAGTCGTATGAGCCTTGGGGAGCCATTCGGGAGGACGCAGCTCGTATACGGAAGGTGGCTCAAAGTCTCCTTCTGCCATAACAGAAAGGTTTCCAGAGGGTGATTGCTCTGTCCACTGCTGTCTATGCGAGGTCAGTATTTTACCCGTAGCATCCGTTAGATGAACGGAGAGGGCATACCGGGATGACAAACCCCCAGGAGTGGAATTTGCACAGCGCGGAGCTTCCGAGTTCCGCTATGATGGATATCAGTGTTCAGCACACTTCCGGCGTAATTCCGAGTAATGAGATTACACCGAGGTCACCTAATATCCGCGTTATCTCGAGACCCTGTGACGCAGATATCTGGATGATGACAACAGATGGTCCTTCGTAGTATTTCGACGCGCATGTACAGGAGGAGTTAGCTGTGCATTGCGAGCAATGGCGCGAGCGAGAGAGCAAGAGCGCGCCAAAGTACCGCCGGCAGTCATCTCGGTCCCACGTGATCTGCGTCGCCATGCTGTGGCCACCAGCGGCTTTACGTTTTCTCCAGCAAGTAATAATCAGACTTTAATTAATTCGACATGGTGGATTGCTACAGAGCTTCCAGCATCTGTTTAATTGTTTACGATGCACTTTCCATACAGATATTTCGCATGCAAAGCTTTATATTCCACGGCTTCCAGAAATAGGCTCCGCGCTCGGTTCGGGACGCTCAGCCGACGATGCATGCATGCAAGCTTCCCGAAGAGAAGAAGCAGCGTGAGCCCAAACTTCTATGGCGGGACGCTGATGTTGAATTAACATGATGTGAGCCGTCAGCAAGGCGGCGAAGTCGAGATATGAGATCGCGAATGATGCGATTGGCGACTAAGGTGTGCGCAGATGGGTTTCTGTGGCAATGTGCTTCGCGACGGAGTAACTAACATTGTATCGAACGATTCTGACGTACAGACGGACCAACGGTGAGACGTATATTTCGCGCCGCAGCCCCCGCTCGGCGGCTTTGGTCGTTCTCAAGGCTCGTGGCGCCCGAGGGTACGTAACATGCGATCGGCGCGCCAAGCACCACGTAGAATGAACGTCAACCGCAGACGACGCACCAAGCATTCAGACCAACCGATTCGGATAGTCACTCGGAGAAACCGGATCGTTAGATCGTCTGGGAGCAAATGGGTGTCACGTATGCTCAATAAGGTCGCAATCATTCGTCAGCTGGACATCGAAACACTGAATAGGAGCTCCGCGAGAGGTTTCAACGGCCGGCAGGCGGGATGAGGGTCAGCTGCGGAGTTAGAGAGATTGTGTCAGCCACTGGCGTACCCACGTTCGGCGGCGCCGATGCACATATGAGATTGCAAGCATTGGTTGGAGTGAGCTTCCACAGATATCCAGGTGCATGTAAGCGAGACGATAGTCCCTCCCACGAAATTGTGCTGCATCTGCCGCTCTTGATATGAGCATGGGATTGCAGAAGCAAATGCATACTTGCGGGATACATGGCGGCAGTGCATGACCTTTGAGAATTGCGGATCCTGTGCGACATTGACCTCGTGAGTCGGGCAGGTGGCGCATGCGGTTTGCGGGATATCCAGATATGTGCATGAACACTGGTCATCTCGGAGAAACGTTGTTGATAATTGAGATTGATAATTGAGATTGCGCCATAGGCCGCATCGTTAGAGGAGGAGTGCCGCACGGTGGCCTCGCTTTGGTTGCGCAGAATGCATGCGTGTGTAATGTCAAGGATACATGAGGATGCAGGAGGAGGCGTTGGGCCAAGGAGATCCGGCGTAATGAAGACCAGAAATAGCAAGTTCGGAACCAAGCTCAGGTACCGATCGCTGAGATCACCGGGCGCTCGCGGGGAGACTGCGCCTGATATCGGGTTGTCCTCTCCTCCTCGCGCTCGCTGCGTCTCGTCCCGTCCAGCATCAGACGAATAAGCATCGCAGACGACACCGGGCGAGAACAGAAGGGCAGTGCTGTTCGAGACAAGATGACGCACAGTCAGGAGCGGTCTGCGGGCGGTCGAGGCCTGCGTTCGCGGGATTGCGGGAGGCAGTGAAGCAGAACAAGGTCACCGATCGGATTCGCTGAGACGCGCGAAAGACAGAGCACCAATGAGCAGCGCCTGTGCGAGGGGCGATATCTCGAACCTGCTGGTGGACAGAGTGCGAACGTGGGAGGTGGACGGGACCGGGTCACGTTCCAGGCTGTGGAGAACGTTTTGAATGCGAGTCTCTGAGAATAGACGGCCGGTATTGGTGAGAAACGAAATGGACGCACCCGGAGTCGCTGCATGATTGGGCGTTCTCTCCTTTGGGCAGGGACCATGCAGTAACTGTGATCAGTTGATAGGCCCGTGCGCGACGGCTGGCGGCCCATCCGGGCAGGGGTTATCCAGCTTGCTGGGCTGGACTGGAATGTCATTGAGATTTCGCGATATACAGCGTGCGAGCAAGTCGCTCGTAGAATGGAAAAGAGAGAGCGGGGGAGAAATGAGCCCGTGATGGGCATGAGAATGGAAGGAATTGATGCGCATGCTCTTACCTGCCATACTTGGATCGGGGCATGCATATCCTCATCGATCCGACCCTGCCAGCTGCAGTCGCCGGGCTCTGCAGCGACGACGGCGAGGAGCAGCGCATGCAGGCTGATGGCAACGACGGCGAGGAGGGAGAATAAAATGATGGATATGGCGTTAGCGACGGGAAACCCGAGAGAGTGGAAGTCACAAGCGCCCACGCAGAGGGTGGCAATTCGCGTTTGACCTTCCGCCGTCCATTGTTGCGGTCAACGCCGCTCTGCTTTCTTGTCTTCTCACCACCATCATCCTTCCCCTCCGCTAACATGGCAAGCGCCACCCTCCTCCCCTCGCCGCCCTCAACGGCCCACAGACACAAGAAGCGGTCAGCGACGTCCTCTGCAGCGCCTCGTGGCCGTCCAGCTCACCCTACCTCCGCCAACAGGAAACTCTCTCGCCAACATCTGTTGCAATGTCTCGACGTACGCTTCCCTCCATCCTTCTATCTGATTCCCGCCTGATATTCCTCCTCCACAGATCCTCGGCCCTCTCTCCGCCCCACTGCCCCCGACCCTCTCCCTGCCCCCATCGTCCCAGCGAGACACCACGCCCGCCAAACGGAAACTCGACGACGATCACGATGCCGCATATACCAAGAAGCGCCGCATCAACGACGACGCCGATCGCTCGCAGCCGCGCTCCGCCCCATCGGGCTCCCGCTTGCGTCCAGAGCCCTCAGAAGAGGGCGAGCTCAGAGAAGAACAGCCCGTCTTCCGCGATTCCGTCGCTGCTCTCGCCAATGTACCAGTCCGCCGGCCACGCCGCGGCAAGGGCTCCCTCGAGTACTACAAGGATGTCTTCAATAGCTACCTCGCCTCTGGCCGGCAGCTCAAGCACTCGGCCGAGAAGCGCAAGCGATCCACCTATCCCAAGAGCCATATCGACTATACCCCACTGCGCGATCCCCCATCACCAGGCAGTCCGTATCACAGACACGGCCTCCTCATGGCCCGTCTCGAGAACCTCGAGTCGTCTCTCAACTTTGCATACGCATTCTGGGCCCGGGGCATGTTCATGGACAGGAAAGAAAGAAATCCAAATCCATGGAATCAGGTTCTCGGCGTGCTGTCCGCCAGCAAGAACGTCTGGCAGGACGATCGCGTCAGCGACGAGCGCGAGAGCATGTTGCGCGGCTTGATGTAAGTGCCATCGTCGGTCCACCGGTCCACTCACCTACATGGCTCTACAGCTACATGATCGAGGGCTTTGTCGTTGCCCACAAGATTCGATCCAATTCCCAACAGATTCACAACGAGAACGAGTGGATGATGAAGCGGCTCCAGATCGAGGCAGACACCGAGCAGCTCAAGGCTGCTAGAGCCGCCGCGCTCAAGGCTGCAGAGATACGCAGGATGAATCCCCCGGTACAACTCCCTTCTCCCATCAGCAGCGCGGGCTCGACGCCGGCTAGTGAAGGCACGCCGAACGCTGACGACACGAGCGCTTGCAACGCCTCCGCACCGATATCCGCAACCGCCGGCGCCTCGCGAACACCAGTAGCCCAGCCGCCCCCTCCAAAGGAGCTGGAGCTACCGCCGCCGCATATCACGATCAAGGTCAACGCGGCCACCGTCCAACCCCGTCGCGAACAGAGCCACAACATCGTCGTTGCCACCAACGCGATGGAGAAGGCCGAGCGGTACATTACCCTTCCAGCGATGGCGAAGCACTTTCCCAGGACGTTTGCGCGCATGATGTATTCTAGCCTCGCACCGTCCGAGGAGTATGAGCCCGACATCGAGGACGAGGAGGGCGAGCTCTTCTGGCCAGGGCAGTGCGCCACCGGCGAGGGCATCGCATGGGTGTGCACGATGGGCAAGGCGATGATCCAAGAGTTCAGCAAGGCATACGGCTACAAGGGCATTGACGGTGCGATCCCCGACGACGTTTCCGCTGATGGTGTACCAACATCAACTTCGACGCCCGATGTATCGCTGCAGAGGTAGTTTGTGCGGTTCGTTCACTGCGGTCTGTCCCACCTCGTTCGCGTTGCATATGCGGCGTTCCGACCTTGCCTTCCTGTTCTTGGAATTCTCTCTGCTCGGACTCCGCTCGTTCTCCTTGTCGTCGGCCCTCGTTCTCGGTCTTTGGCTCTCGCTTATCGCGTTACTACGTCGCTGACGTTGTTGCCGTCGCTCTCGCCTTCTCGCTTCGCCGAGGTCCCATTTCCAGTGCCATCTCAACTGGTTACTCCGCAGCTTCTTAGGATCAGCACATCTACTCAGATCGCAAAAACCCAATGTACGATATCAACTGACGCAGCATCTGCCAACTCTGTACATTATCTGTAACACGATTCCTTGCCATATGCGCCATCATCAAAACCTCCACCTGCATCGCCACTGTATTCGGCACGTCATCGCCCTTGCCCGCCCACAACGGGCGTTCCGCGTGGCACCGCTCGTCGCCTTCGGGAGAATAGACTCATCGCTGGCGGTTCTCACAGTAACGCGCACGTTCCGCGTTTCACAAATGCGGTGCGCCCTGTGTTGTGGTTGACTCTGCCCGTCGGGCCCGCGCGGCGTGATGCTCGTGCGATGCTCCGGCTGCATACCTCCCTGTGCATAGCTCTCGCTTTCCATTTCTCATCTCGGGACCTATCTGTCGCATCCTCATTTCTCTGTCCATATCATACCCACTGCACGTAATTCTATTGTCTATACTTCCTGCATTCTGCACACTCGTCCGTAGCTGCGGTGCGCTTCGTTCTCGATTGGGCTTGTCCCCGCCTGCCTCGCTGCTCGTACTCCACATCCATAGCGCATGTCCCACTTGCATATCCACAGCCTCTTTGATACACATTTACCTAGTTGTTCATATGATCGCTTCTTGCTCAGCGGTGGTATCTGGTACCCTCTATCTATTTATCGTGTCGGAATGGAATACACACAGATGGGCCAAGCTCTTCGGTCTAGTGAGTCACTGGATGACTGTGCATGTTGGTGATCGTTTGTTCGTCAACTGAGCGAAGATGTGACTCTACCGCACTGAGGATGCACGTGGGTCGGCGACGGCTGCGACGAAATTGTATCTTCATCAGCCAAACCTTCTTCCGAAACTAATCGCTAGCTGATGCCTCCGGTCTACAGACGGGCTAATACTGACAGACACGGCTTTCGATGGGCGAATTTAGGACGAGCGCGCAGGCGTTCTGTTCGACGGTTGTCGTGGCGCGCATTATCTTCGCCGATGAAGACCGGTCTGGACAGCGTCTCTCATTCAAATTGTACAGCCTACCGTCTTGTCTACGGTGTTATCATCGTCCGAGCGATGTGCGTTACCTGCACTGCGTCGCGTTCGGGGCTAGCTGACGCCCGTGCTGAGTTCGGTTTCGGGCTCTGATGTGCGTTCTGCCAGTAGGTGTGCTGCCGAATGGGACGAAACAGGACGTATTCATGCCGCTGACTTCGGTCTGCAAGTTCGACAATGTCGACGGTGTCGGTTCCCCTGTCGCTTAGGCTGGCGTCAAACGCTCTGACCCTCGACTTCCAGTTGGTCTCGCTCGAATCATGTTGAACTTTTATATTCACGGCTTCCCTACAACATTCTTCAAAGCTTATTACTCAGACGTCATCTTTTGCAACTGTCATCAACTGTTCCGGCGCCCGACTATCTATGATCAACGCGCGTCTCTGTTGCGTTCTGCTTGCTCACGGGCGTATAGGACGCTATGGCGAGGGTGCACGTAGATGGGCACGAGAACTGACAGGGACTTACCCTATGGGTGAGTGCCTCATCTGTCTGTTTTGCACGGTCTTTTCGACGCATATGGCCTCACCCCCGGTTCTCGGTGGTGATACCAGCTCGCCTGCCAACCACTGCTTGGTCTCGTTCAAGCGTGTACCATCATTCACCGACTTCACCTGCATAGAGAGCTCTAGATTTATTTTGCAGGTGCTATCATTGCGTCGTACACATGTCATGCTAACACATGCATGTGTTACCTGAATATATCAATTATATGCATTATTCTGTCCTTCAGCCTCATTATCATGGGAACAGCACAAGAAAGTGACTGCAAAGAGGCTGCATCTGCATCTGTTTATGTTGCATAATAGCCAACTAAGTCAGGCACGTCGGAGAAGGAGGCAAAAGTGCAGACCATTGATAATCTTTGTCAGCCATAGAAGACGAAGTGTGACTGATATGTGAGTTGCGCCTGTGATGCGAGAAATAGTGTGACAACCAAGAATGATAGAGAGCCTGGCAGGATGCGAACTACTGTCATTGATCCTGCAATGCAACTGTGGCAGTAATGCAATTCACATTCTCCAGAGCTCTCCTTACCTCCAAAAAATCTGAAACATTTCCTGTATATTACTGGAAACATGATGACTATGTATACTGAGTCCTGTATCATTCAGTTGAGGATAGAATGAATAACAGGCAGATCATGGCCTGTGTATACAAAATGTGGGCTTAATCAGGCTTCGGCTCACTGCAGTTTGTATCTGATACCTTCGATGAGTTAGTCATACTTTCATATTGGATCAAAGAAGTTACATTTAATTTAATTTTGAGACATTTAAGCCCCGGGATGGATCTTTGAAGAGAGAAAATGGGAGAGATGAGCATCAGTGTGACAAAGTTGCCACGAAGGATCATCAGATCTGAACTTCGCCAGGCACCAGCATGTGATAGCCACTGGTAGTGAATGTTGGCAATGTGAGCTTCAGTTAGTGAAGTTCCTTCTGAGCTTGACCACTGTTTCTTTCATCACATACAGCATCCTATGCCCAGCATTAACAAGTCCCAAAAACATGACTGTGATGTCAAAAAGCATATACAAGATGCTATATTCCAATTACATGCTTCTGAATGTTAAGGCTGCTTCTCGTGACTTCGACATCTCCTACCATACCCTTCAATGTCACCTGCTTGGTGCTATGAAACCACATTTTGCTGCACACCAGGCACAGCAGCTCCTAACATTTAGCTAAGAAGCAGCTTTTGTGAATTGAATCAAACACCTTAGTGAGATTGGCAGGCCTCTCAGCAAGTGCACCATCAGTAAGAAGGCATAGCAGCTTTTTAAACGACAACAGCACCCATCTCACAAATGAATGTGGGACTTTCTTCAGTAGCATTCAGACATTCATCTTGGCAAGCCATCTGGACTGGATCTCAAGTGAGCACAGGCCTTCAATGAAGCTACAGTCAAGCAGCACTTTGAGTTGCTTTGTAAAGTGCTGAAAGAGCATGATATATCATGATCTAATATTTACAATATGGATGAGAAGGGTATTCAGAGAGGTGGGAGATGAAAGGTGCAGGTCCTTAAATACTTCATATCATGTGATCGTCATCCTAAGTACAAAATTTGTAGTCCAAATCTTGAACTCATCACGATCATCAAGTGTGTTTGCATGGATGGTGGGAGCTTACTTCTGAAATTTGTTTACATGGAAAAGGAGTTTTATCTGCAGTGATTTAAAGTGAAGGCCTGAGCAATCATGGTCATTGATGATGCAGTGCAGGCACTTTTTGTGATTAGATAAGAAGATGCATCAGTCCAGATACTGAGAACAGTAGACACACTAGTCAAGAAGTCAGCATGAAATGTACAGGGAGGCAGGCAGGAGCGAGGGGTGGTTGGTTGAGAACAGAGGACATATCTGTTGATCATGGGTGCGTGGTGCCTCGCATGTGCGGGAGAGGTTCATCGAGGTTGGCAGAGCATGCTGGGGTGGTTGAACAAGGGCAAAGGTGTCTGAAAGGTCAGTACATGCACCCTGGGATGATGCACGATATAGAGTGACCACGACTCACCTACAGCACCCACCCAATGCCATCTAATCCTACCTCTCTCCTTCTGTAGTGCCACCATCACTGGGTCACCATCTCCTGCATGCATCCACATGCTTGAGAGTGGTGGTGATTAAAAAGGGGGTGGTGAACATGGCAGGCCTGCACAATTGGTGCATCATGTCAGGCATTGGTAAGGTGGTGGAAGAGAACAGAGAACACAGCTGGTTCAGGTGCCGTAGTGGTGAAGAACACACGAGTGGGCAGCTGGTCATCATGTAAGGGAGAAAGATGAGTAATATGTAAGGCATGGGCATGATGCATGGCGTGGGCTCATGTGTGGGTCTTCGAGGTTGGCAGAGCGCATTGGGGTAGTCGAACGAGAGAGGAAGAGCTCTGAAATGTTGACTATATGTGCCGTGCCATGACACGTGATACTGACAAACTGGTACTCACCTGCTGCACTCCTCCAGCCAATGCACCCTCCTTCTGCATCACCACTGATGCATTGCCATGCCTCACATCTGTACGTGCATTCATGAATTGTGGTGATGGGACAAGGGCATGGGCAGCAGATGGGGTAGGCCTGCACAATCAACTCATTGCATGGGGGTGGGTAAGGTGATGGTGGCGAACATTGTATGCCATGGTGGTGTAGTGCGCATGGGCAGCTGGTCACTGTAGAAGGATGGAAAGAGGGATAATGGATGCAGCACAGAGGAGAAACAGGCATGAGGCTCCCCAATTGGAGAGTAAATTCAGTAGCAAGAGCTTATCTAAATACATGTCCTGGAGGGTCACAAAGAGCTCCATTCATGTGAATTTTTGGCATGCATATAGGTGAAGGGTATAACGAGAGGTTGCAAGCAGCGCATAGTGGATAGAGTGGATGTACAGTGAGAAAAAAGTAAAATGAGATATGCATGAAGTAGGCGCTTATTGAGTGAGCTAAAAGAACAATGCATAGAAAAAAACCAGATGGTGGAAATTTTGATATAATGAAGAGGATATGCATACCTAGGGGTCTCAAAAAAAAAAGAAATTTACAGCACCTGCTCAAAGTTTTAGACAATATTCTAGTCACACTTAACAGGGTGCCAAAATGTACCTGATTGTGCAAGCTTTCATGCATAATCCATCATGTCAATTGATTGTGACCCAATTGACACCTCAAAAATCAATGCAGGGCTTCAAGATGACGATATTTTCAAGAAAATAGGAGGTGATCTTGAGGAGCTAGGAGGTGCATGTGGAGGGAGGCCAAATGTAACATTCAGCCCAGGTTATATAGATAGAGGATAAAGTGAATGCATGGCTAAAATAAAATTTAAATGAGATACGCACAAAGTGGCACTGATCGAGTGAGCAGACAGAACAATGCATACAAAAATAACTGGACAGTGAAATGACTTGAAATTTTAATTTGATGAGGAGAATATGCATATTTAGGGGTCTCAAAAAAAAAGAGTACAGCAGCTGCTTGAGTTTTCAAATAATATTCTATGCACAGTTAACAGGGTGCAAAAACCTACCTGATTGCGCAAGCTTTCGCAAATGATCCATTGTGTCCTCAATTGAGACCTGAGAATTGATGCAGCACTTTAAAATGAGGGTCTTTTCAAGAAGATAGAAGGTGATCTCGAGGAGCTAGGAGGTGCGTACGGAGGGAGGCTGAATGTAACATTCAGCCCGAGTCATATAGATAGTTTCACTGTTTTTCTTCTATCTTCAGATTGGCTATAGCTATATTCACAGATAAAATAGTATTAGAAAGCCATATTTCTCAGCTTTCAAATGAGCATCTGATAGCAGAATTCATATGTCTTGTTCTGAAGATATATGCAACTCTATCAGGTAAACTCATTTATACACTTTTGTCACCAACAAACTTCAAAACTCTAGTAGTTGAGTCATCAACCCTTTGCCATAAACACTGCCTTAACCCATTCATGCATGTTTTTGATCAAAATCTGATGCACAAACCTGTCAATACTGTTTCATTTCTTTTTCAATTGCTTTCACAATTCTGTAATCTCTTTAAGTGGCTCCTCATGCCTTGCTAATCTTTTTGTGAGATAACTTCAAAGATGATCTATGAAATTAAGCTCTGACAATTGATCATGCCATACCATAGTCTTGATATTAAGTCAGCTAAGTCATGCTTGAGATCATTATCTTGCTGAAACACCATTTCATTCACTTTTGCTGCAATGCTTCAAGCCATTTTAAAGCTCATTTCTCCAAATGCTAACATAAGGGCAGATTCATCTTGTCATCAGTTGTACAGGTATATCTCATTTCTTTCCAAACTATATAGATTCACATTATCAGTGATCTTTTATCATCTTGATGATATAGCATATCAGAATATGTTCAGCCAGACAAGTTCTACCCATGCTATGTTTGATGTTTCGAAGTATGATTTGTATAGTGCATCAGGGTTTAATCAAAAGCGCACATACTTTACAACATACTCAATGAACATGGTGAATGTGATTATATCTGTCTATAGCAGACTTTCAGCTTAAAGAAGTGAATAATTGTAAGGGCTACAGAACTTGTAAAGTTGTCAGCCACCCAGGATGTGCAAATCAAGTTTAAGACAATAAAAAGCTCTTCTGAGGTCACTTTGAATATTGAAATGACAGATACTGAAGTTGCTGTGAATATTGAAATGGCAGATATCTTGCAGTTTCACCTACATTCATGACATTCTGGGGGTGTAGATTGAATGCTCAGGAAGGGAGTCAGAGGAGCTTAGGGACATGAATGGTGGCCCAACCAAGTTTCAGATAGTGGAAAGCTCTTCTGAAGCCACTCTGAATATTTTGACACAGCTCAAAATGGCAGATATCCTGAAGTATCACCAAGGTTCATGACATTCCGGGGTGTAGATTGAATGCCTTTAGGGACCTGAATGATGGCCTCAACTGAGTTCCAGATATTGAAAAGTTGTTCTGAGGCCACTCTGGATATTTCAACACAGTTCAAAATGGCAGATATCTTGCAGTACTGCCAAGGTCCATGACATTCTGGGAGAGGGGATTGAATGCCCAGAAAGGGTATCAGAGTGCTTTAGGGACCTAAATGGTGGCATCACCCATGTTAACACAATGTAAAGCTCTTCTACATATTACACATTGCAGACGCTGTAGCATTTCTCACCACTGGAAAAGATGAAACCAATATCTACAGCTTATGTTCTGCTATGTTTCAGTCTTCATCTTTCAATGTTACCATCCAACTTCATTGTCACCACTGCAATGTAGTTGTGAATGCAGAAGATGCTTTCATTTATTTATAGGACTGCAGTTTATCACTTTGGAGAAAGTCCTCTGTTAAGCTAGGTTCTTCAAAAAATAGAAAGCTTTCAGAATGGCTGCAAGCCCTTTTCTTTAAAAAAAAGACTCACTTTGCATGCCAAAGCTGCAATAAAAGACTGGTCAGAAGATACTGTATGTATTTGCCAACATCTCCAACTTCTGAGCATTTATAACAAATCAGAGGCAAATTCAGCTAACTCATGCTGTGTGCATTGAGGAACAAGGCATAAAATATCACTTGCATGGTATTATTTATTTTGATGAGTTTCATTTCACTGCAAGAATTGTTGACATGAATGGTCAAACACAGTACAATGATGGAATTGTTACAGGTAATACTCCAACATTAGAATACCCTGTGAAGATAGTACACCCTACTTTCCTCAACAAAGCACATGGTAGATTTAGCTCTGTAGCAATCTACACTAAACTCTGCTTAACCTGACCTTCAATAACAAAAACACAGTCTGCAACCCACCATCACCTTTCAACTGTGGTCTTTGCCATAATCTAATGTCACTCTAAATACAGCTGCTTCTTGAACAATCATACCATCCTTAATCTCTGCCAAAGAGACTGACATTTCAATGTGAGTAACAATATATAATGGTCAATCAATGTGGTGAATATCATGATAAACTTATAAAATCCATTATGAAGAATATCAGAACCTCAGGAATCATTTCTGTAGATGATACGGTCACCACAATCCAAGTAGTGTCCATATTCCATAATGAAGTATTCAAACAACATAGGATGCCAGGGCAAATTATAACCAACAGGAGAACTCAATTCTTAGCAAAACTCTTCCAAGAGCTCTGCAAACTCCTACATATCAGTTCCATCATGTCAACAGCCTATCTGCCTGAAACAGATAAACAGACAGAATGAACAAATCAGATACTGAAACAGTATCGATGAATGTATTGCAATCACTGGCAAAACAATTGAGCACATCTATGACCCACTGCAGAGTTTGCATACAACAACCAGGCATCTGAGGCAACTACACTGTCACGATTCTTTATCAAATATGGAAGACACCCTTAAACATTCAACAACGTATTATGGAATACACAACACCCATCACTAGAAGAATTGTTCAGAGGTCGTGAAGAAGTGAGAGATCAGGCCAGGCCTTCACTCGTAATGGCATCAGAACAAATGAAGTGGTACTTCGACCTCAAGAAGCAAAAGATCTCCTTCAAAGTAGGCAATTTTGTAATGCTAAGAGGACATGGCCTTCATATAAGGGTCAAAAGCAGAAAACTTGCAGCCCAAAACTATGGACCAATATAAGATTTTAGCTGAAGTCACTACCATGTCATTCAAATTACAACTGCCACAAATGATGAACATCTATCTGGTTCATGCATCTAAGCTTATTATGTTTCATGAAGACTCAGTGCCAGGAAGAATGCTGTCACCAAATCCTCTAGTCATTATTGATGGAGAGAAATAATGGGACATTGAAGAAATCCTGGAATTACAAGTCAAATATGGCAAGATCCAGTATACAATCAAGTGGCTAGACTATGGTCCTGAAGACAATACATGAGAATCACTAGAAAACCTTGAATATGTCAAAGATGTGATCAAAAAGTTTCACCAGACACACCCAGATATACCTCACATTGCGAAACACAAGAGATGAGGGCAAAAGGTCCATCTCAGTGAACACTCTAACACCTTTCTATTTTTTGAACCTCTAGCCAAAAATGCCAGATGGCCAATGAAAGGCTCAGATCAGTCAGCTGGTTAGGATCTATATTCATTGTTGTGATCACGGTCATCTAACCTAATAAACACATGCTCATAACAACTGAGCTCATGATGACACCACGAGTCAGAATCTATAGATGCATTGCTAGTCAAAGCAAGCTAGCACTGAAAGGCATCAACATTGCTGAAGAGGTAATTGACCCAGACTATGAGGGCAAAGTAAAGATAATTCTTTGTAACAACACTTCAGACTCCTACAATGTCAAGGAAGGCAACAGAGTTGCACAGCTCATTTGTGAATGTTTTTGAACCAGCCACTTCATGTGAAGCTACTATTTAAAAGAAGAATTCATAAGACAGTGCACAAGAGTCTAAAGAATTTCGTTCATCAGAACGATGAAGCATAAGAAGAGGGTACTGTCACAGTTTTGCCAGACAACCTATATATAGAAGATACATAACTTAGATTACATTTTATGCACATTTCATGTCATCAAGTCACATGATAGATCGATCATCAGCCTTATCATATATATTACAACATCACGTGACTCAGTCATGCAATGTGACCTCAGGCTTTGGCATTGGCTCTGACTAATTATTCAGTTAGCTTAGTGATGATCTCAGGCACCCATCCTGGCTGACTAAGATAGTGTCAATCAGAGCTCCGTCCTGCCACACTATTCATACACATCAATCACAACAATTGAGACATGTTATATGATGGTAGAGCTAGCCAATAGATAGTGTGGAAAGTACTTATATAAGTACTACACAGTAGCATCCCATTCATATAGATAAGATCAGAGTGGACAGAAAACAGATCTCAGTCTTATTCTCCTGCATCCACTGTGACAGCTACTAGAGCCTAACAAGCTCACTGCTATATATCCTCTGTGATATATACTCTATAGCCTCACTCATCACCCAGCTCTGTTGCATAAGCCAGTGAGTACAAGCATTGACTGATGAAACTTGCATGTTGATGAGCTTATCATATCTAAGATCACCTACCCAGTGATCTATCCTTTGAGAATTGCTCGATCAGAGTACCCTTTGAGGGACTGGTCTTTTAATTGTCTACCTTTGTCTATGGTGATCTGTAACACTGCTCTTGTTTGTGCTTATTTATTTGATCTCATATATATGAACCAGTTCAAGTGCAACCTGCATTTGATCTGTGATAGCTACCCCACCATCCACTGCTGGCTCTGCTTGAGACAGAGACATCAAGACTGCAAATCTTAAGTGATTTTTCAATGTTCACAGGTTTAAACATCTGGAAGATCCCTCAGTATTCACCAACATTGAGTTTATTCTTGATGAAAATTGATGTGTAACAGTGTAACCTCTTGTCAAAGTCCACAACTCACACACAATTTTCTCACAAAGCTCAGTGAATGTTTACTGAGTGGGCTTATTGTTGACTTTGACTGATGATGGCATCCTTATAAGTGATAACTGGCCAGTCTTCACTAACATCTCTATCTAGTCTTCAGCAAGATAACAGAGTGCAGCTACATTGCGAGATGAGTAATGGCCACACATGTCATACATGTCAGCATTAGGATGGATCACCTGTCCATGTGTATATTGCAATACTGGCATCTCTTCATATGAATTGATATGCAATGTCAGTCTTACAAAAACACTTTTTGCTTGCAAGAACTAGTGGGTCGATCAATCAATGTAAGAAAAGCAACATTTCTGAGACCCTATACTCTCAGAAATAAGCCCTCTGACAAGGGCTGTGAGATCTGTTATCTGGAGGTGGTGCATGGATGAAGATGCTGGCATATGCAAACAGTATACATTTGCATGGTTTGCATTGCAATTGAATATCTTGTAAATCTCTTATGGCCTACGAATGGTATATCAGAGCATGTTCAATGAGATTAAAGAAATGAACCCAGAATCAAATTTGATGTGTGGCAACTTCTCTATCAGCCTCAGTCACTCTTTTCTACTATAAAAGTCATCCAAGATGCTGCAACGATATTACAACACTCATTCAAGCATTGTGTGGCTGCTGGGCATAGATTATATATATATATGTCAAGTCCAATCAGATAAATACTAATTATAGAATATCATGAAATGGATTGTCCATTGCTGCCCAACCATCATCAGAACCATCATTCTCTTCTTCATTTTTCAGTTCTGAAATCGAGATCACTAGATTCATCATTTGATTACAATAAATTGGTCAGTGCTTGTATGTGATGAAGATGGCAGGACATACCTTGTCAAATGATAGCATATGCACACATTTCTCTCCAATGTCAGTTATCTAGAGAGAAGTCCTTGCACAATGAGACTTTACATGAGATGGCCTGATGACTTCAATATCCTGTAAATATGCATCATAGAAGAGCTTCCCATCCACAAGAGAAAAGTGACAGTATGGATCTTTGACAGCACTAAGATCAGATAACTCCTCCAGATGCTTGATGGTCATGAAGGAGTCTTTAACAGTCTTCTTCCCTTCCTTTGTCCACCTTTCATATACAAAGATTTGGATAATGCATCTGGCTCTATTGTGTCCACCATCCAGTGAAATGAAGGTAATATAAGAATCCTTTGACAACACTGAATGCTGCCGATATGTGACACCTCTGATTGTAATTTTCTCACAGAGTATCATTAAATTGCCTGCCTGCAAGTGTCCTTGTTCTTTTAACAACTCTCACACATCAATACATAACTCTTGCCTGGCCTTTTGATTGAGCAATTTCAGCAGAGCTGTGAACTGATGATTTGTGAGTTTGTTGATGCCATTTGACTTGTCTGCTACAGCTCAAAGAGATATATCGAAGCTCATTGAATTGTGCAATCTGGTCCCTCACCTGTCTTCATGGTAAACATCATCATAAATGGCCACAAGTTTGCCCATGACTGCTTGAACTTTGTAATTTTGCAATAAGCTGCTCAAGTTGGTGGAGCAGCATGTTTGAACCATGTATGTCATCTTGAGATCATCTGTATACAAAATGAGCTCGTTTCAGATCCTCTATATGTCTCTCTATATGTGGAGAAAATCAGTGCACCAAACATTCTGTTATTATTCAGCTTCATGAGCAGATAATTCATTTTTTCTGCAAAGAAAGCTCTAATTAAGTGGCCTGGACCAAAAGCATGGAGATACACACTGACATAGAGGACAAAATGATGGTTAGGTTTAAGTACTGCTTCTTTATACAGATCCTTTAAATGTTGTAGGTACCACATCAAGCAGATGTTGTATGCCCAAATATGTTCAGCTGATATCTGAAGTGAGCTGCTCAAAAAGTCTGAAGTGACTAGATCTATGAAATTCTTCCAGTGTTTTTGATTTTCTGCTGTTGTCAAAAGCACATAGCCATATTAGTGTCACTGGAAATTGATTGAGCAGGCAGAAAGCCAGTGATTTGCATGAAGCTTGTCTGTGCTGAGGTTAAATGGTGCTGGATTAATCCAGGAAGGGACTTTGGTGTGACACATGTCCTCATGTATCTATGCAAGTGTTTCACAGTCAGTACTACCATGGAAGCATCCTTGCTGATGGTGATGATCAAATTATGTTGGCACTGTAATAGAAACAGCATGAATGTTCAGTGATAAGGAAACCTCAAAACTCTCATTTATGGTAGTGCTGAATTCAGGTTTTTGTTTGAACCTCAAATGATATGCTTTGTGCAGTTTTGAATGGTCATCCACTCATTGAGCTGATGGGCCAATCACAGTCATTATATTTGCTGCACTCAAAGAGTCTGACTGATCATGCTATACAAGGTAACTTCAAGCTTAGTAATGCAATCTGCAGAAGAGAATCTTGTACCCATGCAATAAGCCTCGAAGCAAGTACAGCTTTCACGCTATGCTTTCAATTCCTCTGATCTCACACATTGCAACCAGCACAGGCTTAGAGTTACCAGCCAAGGTATTTATCTGACTATCATGGGATAGGGATTTCTCAGCTTTAACAATGTGCTTGTTTAGGGACATTGAAGTCAATGGAAGTCTCAAGCCTTCAATTATAGGCAATGGTGGTGAAACATTCAAAGAGCTATCATGTCCATTGCCCTCACATTCACACTTGCACAATGTTAGTATATGCTGATTATCTGAGAGTGCAAGCCTACAACACACTCATTCATTCAATCTATCCATAGTGTGCTTTTTGGTCTTTGCATGTCAGAGATTGTGTTCCAAACAAAGATGACACAGAACAGCCTTGCTGCATTTTACAAGATCACTCATGGATCTGGTATGGAGGATGTTCAACCCTTCCAACATTGCAGCATCAGCCTGATGGCCAGGCTGGTACTTTGCACTCATGACTGTTTATGCCATCTCCATCCTTGACTTCAATATTCATTCTTTAGATATCCTTGCATTGTGTTTTGAGCAGTTCAAGATAGTAATTGTGCATAGTATCAATGACTGTAAATGAGATTGGGTTCCAATATGGAAGTCAGAGAAGTTTTGACCATCATACTTCATCCTCAGTGAAAAGCCCATATATACTGAGTGAGGGAAATTGTGGCAGCGAGTGGTGCCATGGCCAGGCACTGAGTCCAAGAGTGGAAGAGAGAGATGGGATGAGGGTTGACATCATCAAGCACTTAGATAGTCTCACGATCATGCCTTCGAGTCCTGTATATGTACATATTGCATTGCTTGTTCTCTACACACATACTTCTCCATGCGCATACACCAAAAGTGTACTATTGTAACTGTCTAAAGTACTGTAAAGTCTGTGAAGAGGTTTCTAGGTCGACATATGTATCTACAGCAATATGGGATTATCTCTGAGCCAATGATGCCATATATCCCTCAGGAGATGAGTGAGGGCATCATACACTTGCTGACCATGCATGGGCTATGCTTTATGATTCAGGTCTTCCTAACTACCTTTGGGAAAAGGCTTTTCACACAAGTGCATATCTCAAGTCACTTGTCTCATCCATATGTCAGAGAGGCCATACTCCTTATGAACACTGATATGGTCATCTATCCAATGTCATACACTTATGCATCTTTGGCTCGAAGGCATGGGTGAAGGTTGCTGATAATATACACACCAAGTTAGATCCTAAATCTTGTCAGTTACACTGACAATGCCAACTATTGACTCTGAGATCTGACAGCAGGCCCTCGAGGGGCAATCATGAGATCCCACAGCATTATTTTTGAGGAGAGCACACCTCACCACACTGTTGATGATGTGATCCTCCAGCATCCTCTCTCATCTGTGTTGCAGCAGTCTGCATCTTTGCTGTCATCCTTGTCATTGCCACTGCTACTGATATCACCATCATCTCCAATGCCCTCTGCATCACAGCAACCTGTGCCACTGTGGTGCTCAAGTAGGACCTCAGTGAAAAGCCATGCTTTGTGAGAGTCAAAGGAGGCTGCCCAGCATGAGGATGAAGCTCGAGTGCAGGGAATATTCTGGGCTAACAATGCACCTCATGCCACTGAAGCATACATCACCTTTCTTGCATTTTCTAATATGCTGGCCAACCCTGATGCATTCACACTGGAGGCATGAGCCTGTGATTCCATTGGAATCATTGTAGACACATTGTGAACACAGTCACAATGATGTGACACATCCGGATTGATGGCAGCCACATTTTGAATTCTTACAGAATGATATCTGAATACTTTGAACATATTTCAATCACAAATTAGCTGATTACATTCTGAACAAGCTCAGTTGATCCTGTAGGGAGTCATTTTACAAACATTACACCTGTTATTTGGATTGATACATAATGCTGTCATTTATAACAAAGTGGCACAATGCTAGTGATATTTTGAATTTTTCCACAAATGCAAGCACCCGAAACAAATGGGCGTCATTGCAATACCATCGTTGATGGTGTTGTGAAGCATTCAGAATGTTTCCAATGGCACCACCAAGGTCACATGCAGTCCTTATTGAGAGTGCTTTTCACCGAAACATTTAAGATGAGTTCTCCTTACAGTCCACCTGCATGCAGCATGCGTCCACAGTGAGATGTGCATATTCACATTGTGCTCAGAGGGGAGAAAAGTCTTTTACTTCTGGAAGCCATCATGAAATCACCAAACATTTCTTTGAAATGCTGCTAGTGTGACTCTTATAAGTGTTCAGAATGGTGCTGCCAGTGTGACTCTTATAAGTGTTCAGAATGGTGCTGCCATGGCTCCTCAATGAGTTTAAAATGTTGCCAGCAGGACTTCTCAATGCATTCAAAATGCTGCTGGCAAGGCTCCTTGATGTGTTTCAAATACCACCAGCATGACTTCTAGAAATGTACAAAATGATGCTGGCATGGCTATCCAATGAATTCAAAATGTTGTCAGCAGAACTTCCTGATGCATTCAAAATAGCATCAGCAAGACCTTCTGATGTGTTTAAACTACTACCAACATGACTCCTCAATGCATTCAAAAGGACACTTGCACGGCTCCTCAATGAGTTTTAATTAAAGTTCTACCAGCATGCCAGTGACTCCAAAATGCATCCAAAAATCCTAGATGTGCTCAAATATCACCAGGTGTGAGCTTATGATTAATTGCCTCCTTGAATCATGCACTGTTGTGGTTAGCCTGAACAATAATGCTGTCACTGCAGAAAGGTTCATCTCACCATCCACCTTCTTCTCCATTGCACAATTGATGAGTTTAACAAGATGGATATCTCTGATCAAGTGGCAATCTATGAAGCAATGAAATAGCAGACAATAAAATCTATGGACAATTTAATCATGAATGCATGGCTAGTAGAGTTCAGAATTAGATATTCAGGTTTAAAAAAATTCAAAACACACTGGCATACATTGACAATCTTCAGCTTAGTATTTTACATTGAGCATGAGCATCAACATCCCAGAGTCAAATGAGAAATATAACTAACCAATGGCAGTGATAATGGTAGTACAGAGACCCAGAACACTTTCTAGCATCATAAAATCAAGATGAATATGTTAGCCTGGCTACATAACACAATCAAGCAATAAATGGGTTTTAGCTAGGCTCATCTGTTTGTCTGGCTCACTTTACCATAATCAGGCTCCAATGACAGGCTTCAATGACAGGCTCAAGCTACTGTAGCCTGATATCATGTAGCCAGGCTGATTGTTATGTTTTGATTGAGCAATGTCTAGGCACGTGGCAGCACTTTTGTCACATGCATGCATATCTCCTATTTATGATGCATGGGTCTCAATGACTACTATCCAGGGTTAGAGTTTTTGCCTTTTAGCATACTCATTCTAGAGTTACAGCAATCAAGATCTTAGCATACAACTATGTATAGGTCACTTTTCCAGCTCTGTTTCTCTTTTAGAATAAATGGTTGTGTTTCAGGTCTGAGTTTACTCATCGTACAGAGCCTCCTGTCTACTTTAGATAGCCAGAACCTCATGTACTAGTATCCAAGACTATAAGTTCATAGACGTATAAGGAGGACGAAACAGTTAAAGGAAGATAACCTCTTCCTCCTATTCCTTTACTGCTTCTCTTTGATTATCACAGATTCAAGAAGTTTAAGGAGATCATCTCGATACTACTATAGCATTGTAACATATAGTCAGAATCTGCCTCTCAAGAGGTCATTAGAGCTCATTTCACCTGTGAGTAAATGCATAGTAGCTGCTTCACAAAGACCTAGCAAGGGTAGGATGAAGAACCTCACTGCTATCATTGTCACTAGATCTAGGCAACACTATAACCATTACCATGATGCACGTATTGTGGCATGTGATCATAGAAAACTTGATATACTTCATTTACCTCATCTATTGTCCATTACGCTGTAGACTAGTATATGTAAGAAAGCACACGTGATTTGTGAAGGTTCACAGAGAACACTTTATAACACTGATATATCAGATTTTTAAGTTGTTATTTACTACTTAGTTGTATTCTACAGCCAGGCTCATTTGTCAGACTCACTTTGCAGCAACCAGGCTTCTGCGACAGGCTCAATTTACTGTCACCAAACTCAGATACTAGTTTTTTAAAGATATGACAATGAAATCCATTTATTGCTTAATTGTATCATGTAGCCAGGATGATATATCTGATTGTAAAGTTTTTATTCACTTTTTACAGTTGTATTATACATATAGCCAGGCTCACTTTACTGCAACCATCAACACTGTGCAATTCTGGCTTCCAACACATGGCAGCCTCTAAAATATACAGCCAATGCTTGGACTTATGAGGTCAACTCAGATGAGAATGTGGATGCAAATTTTCATCCAGGTTTGACATCCCTCGAACTCTGTGACTTTCTATCTGACAGACCTCTTCTTGCAGAGTCAAATAGTACCACCTCAGGATCTAAG